CGGGGGTGGGGTCGTGGGGAGTCTGGTGGGTTGGGAGCCTGCAGGATTTTGGGGACCGGGTGGGGTGGAGGGGAACTTGAAGGGGTCCTGAGGACCTTGAGGGAGTCCTGGGGAGTCTGATGGGCTGGGACCCTGCAGGATCTCAGGGACCTTGAGGGGGTCCTGGGGACCTTGAGAGGGTCCTGGAGATTCTGATGAGTTGGGACCTTGCAGGATCTGGAGGACCTTGAGGAATTGGGGCCCTGCAGGATCTCAGGGACCTGATGGGGTGGGGGGGACCTTGAAGGGGTCCTGAGGACCTTAAGGGGTCCTGGGGATTCTGATGGGTTGGGACCCTGCAGGATTTCAAGGACCTTGAAGGGGTCCTGAGGACCTTGAGGGAGTCCTGGGGAGTCTGATGGGCTGGGACCCTGCAGGATCTGGAGGACCTTGAGGGGGTCCTGGGGACCTTGAGGGATTGGGACCCTGCAGGATCTCGGGGACCTGATGGGGTGGGGGGACCTTGAAAGGGTCCTGAGGACCTTAAGGGGGTCCTGGGGAGTCTGATGGGTTGGGACCCTGCAGGATCTCGGGGGCCTTGAAGGGGTCCTGAGGAGTCTGATGGGTTGGGACCCTGCAGGATCTTGGGACCTTGAAGGGGTCCTGAGGACCATGAGGGAGTACTGGGGAGTATGATGGGTTGGGACCCTGCAGGATCTCGGGGGCCTTGAGGGAGTCCTGAGGACCATGAGGGAGTCCTGGGGAGTCTGATGGGTTGGGACCCTGCAGGATCTGGAGGACCTTGAGGGGGTCCTGAGGACCTTGAGGGAATCCTGGGGAGTATGATGGGCTGGAACCCTGCAGGATCTCAGGGACCTTGAGGGGGTCCTGGGGAATCTGATGGGTTGGGACCCTGCAGGATCTCAGGGACCTTGAAGGGGTCCTGGGGACCTTGAGGGGGTCCTGGGGAATCTGATGGGTTGGGACCCTGCAGGATCTGGAGGACCTTGAGGGGGTCCTGAGGACCTTGAGGGAATCCTGGGGAGTATGATGGGCTGGAACCCTGCAGGATCTCAGGGACCTTGAGGGGGTCCTGGGGACCTTGAGGGATTGGGACTCTGCAGGATCTTGGGGAGCTGATGGGGTGGGGGAACCTTGAAGGGGTCCTCGGGACCTTGAGGGACTCCTGGGGAGCCTGAGGGATTGGGACCCTGTAGGATCTGGAGGACCCAATGGGGTGAGGGGACTCAGTGGGGTCTGGTGTCCTTGAGGGGGTCCTGGGGAATTTTATGGACTGGGACCCTGAAAGTTTTGGGGGTCCCAGAGGGATCCTGCAGGGAGTGGGGGATCTGGGGGACCCAGCAGGGTCTGGGGACCTTGGGGGTGGGTTGGGAGGCTTAGGTGTCTCCAGTGATCCCAGGGGAATCCTGCAGGGTCTGGGGGATCCTATGGGGTGGGGGGACCCAGCAGGATCTGGGGACCTCAGCAATGGCTTTAGGGGACTGATGAGGGGAGACCCTGTGGGGGTCTGGGGTGTTTGGGCTTCCTTAGGGGACCCTGTGGAATTGGGGCTCTCCAGGGGACCCAGCGGGGTCTGGGGACCTTGGAGTGTCCCGAGGAATCTGTGTGTGTGTGTTCCTGGGGGTTTTGGGGTGCTTGAAGGACCCTGCAGGATCAGGGGAGTGCAGTGAAGTGTCAGAATGGGGAGGGTGGGGGGGAAGAGGGGGCAGTGAGGCTGGGGGACCCAGCAGGGTCTGGGAATCCTCATGGGGTTGGGAAACCCTACAGGGTCTGGGGTCCCTGGAGGATCTTGCCAGGTCTGGGGGTGTTTACAGGACAATCTGCTGTCAGCAGATGCTGTTGGCATCTGTTACCTCCCCCTCAAAGGCAGCAAGTTCAGGGCAGCTGCTATGGGGCAGGGCCCCTTCCCCGTCTGAGCCCCTCTGCCCCCCAGGAGGGGTCCCCAAGACCCTTGGCCAGCAGGACACTGGTGGGACTGTGCCTCATGTTGGGGCTCTGGTGCTGCAGCCTTCACGTGCCCCTGTGCAAGCCTCGGAGGGGGAAATCAAGCGGGTTTGGGGGTCACCCCACTTCCACCATCCCTGGACTGTGATTTCGACTCGGGACTGCACCCCCCCATGGGGACAGAGAGCAGAAGGGGACCTGTCCTCACGATGGCACTGGTGTCGTTTGCCTCCCAAGCTGGATTTTGGGGGACTGCTTTGATGACTGACCGAGGGGGTGATACTTGAAGCCTCCCCAAGTGCTTCCAGCAAGAATCCTTGGGCACCCCCCGATGTCACTCTGCAGCAGAGCCTGTCACTGTTGGCTCTAGAGGGGCAAGAAGGCACGAGGAGCCAGAGGGGGGGCTCAGGACAAAGCACCCCTCTCCAGGCAGAAGACTCCTGCAGGGCTCTGCCATTGCTGTCCCCATCTCTGCCCTGAGCCGGCCTCGGGACAGGGGGGGCTCGGACCTGACAGCATCATCCCTTCCCCACTGGGTTCAGCCAGCAGAGCCCCCCCAGGAGCCCGCTCCTTCGCCGGACACAGCCACAGCATTTGCCATTTCTGGGCTAACAGCATCCTTCAACCACTAGCCAAGCCACCGACACGCAGTGGAAATGTGTGGGGGGGTGTCTCGCTTTGCTGCACCAAGCTTTTACAGTGGCTTTCCCCAGGAAGAGGAGGGGGGGGGCTGCATGAATCCTTCCTTCCTGCTGCAAAACTGTTAACTCACTGCCCTTATTTATTTTCAATTGAAAAAAAAAAAATAACCACTTGATTTATGCTGGGGGGAGGGGGAAATTTTCACTGACTCATGAATGTGCCCGCGACTACCTTGGTGCCAGGCAGCAGGTCTGTTGTATAATCCTCGCTTCTCTTGCCTCTGTGCCCCCCCAGTGCTGCCCACCCTCTGTGGCAGGGCACTGGCAGAAGTAAACTTTGATATATTTTATTCCTGATGTCCAGTATTCCTTAAGGTGCCGGCTGAAATATAACCGAGAGAGCGGTTAGAACGGAGATGAGCAAATAAGCCCCGTGTAATTAAATAGCAGAGTGGGTTTCTCTGATTATTGACCTTTTCTGGGGGTGTGGGGACTTGGGAAATGTGCTCTGAGCTGCCTGGAGCAGCGTCACTGCGGGTGTCCGGGGTCTCTGCCAGGCACAGCTGATGTACAGATATAGGTGTATCTATACATACACCCACAATCTGTCCTGAAAAAGCTGTATAAGGTCAGAAATAAGGTCCAACGCACAAATGAACGTGTGTGGGAAGTGGGTGGCAGAGAAATATTTGAGCTGCCAGCACGACTTCACGGTGACAAAGTCAGGCAGCAGCACTGGTTGGGGGGGGAAACTTGCATTTCTCCTATTAATTCCTCTTTTTCAGCCAATTCTTTTTTGCTTTTGTGCTCCCCTATGCAGAGCTGATGTGCTGGGACACCCCCTGTCTCCTCGATGCTCCCTAATTTCTGCCCTTTCACTAAATCACTGCTCGCTGGAGGTTTTCCTGTGTGTGCAGAACCATAATCCCAACCAGGAGGTGATTCCCACCAGCTGGGGGGGGGGAAGTTTTGCTGCTAATAGCAGCTTACGGGTCTCAGCCAGGAGAAGGGACACATTATCTCTCCCCGGCTTTCAATTAATAGTATGAAATGCACAGCTTGGGTTTAAATCCCTCGATTATTTTTTTTTTTTTTCCCCTCCCTGGTGATTATTTGCAAATCAGCTTTTGACCTGATTAGAGCAGAACCTACTTAAAGGAATTGCAGGGTAGGGGGGGGGCTGAAAATCAACTCTGTTAAACCAGTAAGACCCAAATAATTCAAAATCCTCTGATGCAACGGTTCCTCCCCACCTTTTCAGTCTCGGTGCAGCTACCATCTCATCACACGTTGTGTTCCTGCGGTATCTTTAGCTGGAACATGACATCTATTGTAATTCACAGGCTTATTCTCATTTTCCTCCCGGGTGGGGGAGGCTGGTGCAGTCAGCGAGGACGGGAGAGCTGATGGAAGGGCAGGGAGCAGATCCCAGGTGTCTCCACAGCTCCATCCTGCAAATAAGTACAATTTATCTCAAATAAGGATACCCAGGGCAAGGCACACTCAGGATTTTCAAGGATGTGGAAAGGCAGTTGGGGTCCCCTCCATCTCCCAGGGTGGAGGGATGGATGTCCCCTCCTTTGGCAAGGATGAGCAGTGGGGAGGATGGCTGGGGCCACATCTGAGACCTGGCTTTTGGAGTGGAGGAGTAACAGCAGCTCCCCAGGCTGGTGCTGGAGCAAGATGGGATACCAGTTGCAGGAAAAAGAATAAAAAGAAAATAAAACCTAACCTTAGAGTCCCATGACACGGTGGTTGGTCGTGGCTGGGATAACACACCTCTGGGTTGTCCATCCTGGGTGGGAGCAGCCCTTGCCTCCTGCATCCACACGAGTCCCTCAGCTGTGGTTTTGGGCAACATCTCTGCAGGTAAATCCTCATCCAGTGACTTCTGCAGCAGCTCCTGCAGGACAGTACTGCTCCCCAGCCCACCAGGCCCCCCTGAAGCTGTGCTGTGGGGTACAGCAAGCCTCATCCTGACACCACGGATGTGGCTGTGCTGGCACCCACACAAAATCACAGAATGATGCGGGGTTGGAAAGGACCTCTGGAGATCACCTAGTTTAACCTCCCTGCCAAAGCAGGTCCACCCAGAGCAGGTCACGCAGGAACGTGTCCAGGCAGGGTTTGAATGTCTCCAGAGAAGGAGACTCCACCACCTCCCTGGGCAGCCTGTGCCAGGGCTCTGCCACCCTCAAAGTGAAGAAATTCTTCCTTATGCTGAGATGGAACTTCCTATGTTCAAGTTTGTGCCTATTTCCTCTTGTTCTCTCTGGAGATCACTGAAAAAAGACTGGCCCCATCCCCCTGACACCCATCCTTTAAGTATTTATAGGCATTGATCAGATCCCCCCTCAGCCTTCTCTTCTCCAGACTAA